GGCCCACACTGGCATGAGATGCTCCGGCCCGGTTCCTACTTGCCGTGGTAGCGCCGCTTGGTCCTGACCCCCGGTTCCCACCAAGTTGAGGGCAGTTTGGCTTAATATGCCCTGTACTCCCGCATTGGTAGCACCGTGGTGGATCACGACACTTACCGGTGTGGTTCCTGTTGCAATTCCTGCACCTGGGCGTCATTGGGGCTTGTGAGCCCGAGTAGTGCCCGCTCGTGGCCGGGTTTCCCTTGGATGGTGCTGCCGGTGCCCTGAACGATCCACCTCCCCCATGGTTCCCCTTCTTGTTGGGACCTTGGGGGTCATGGCTTTCCCACTTTCTTTTCTTAGCCTCTTCGGCATCTCTCTTCTTCCTCTCCTCCCATTGCTTTTGTCCTTTCAACCCTTGGGCGACCACTTGGCTGAAAGTCATGTTGGGCAATTGAGTTGCCCTGTCGCGTATCTCTAAGTCCAAGGCCTCCCAAAAATGATTCACCATTCGGTTTTCATCACAAGCATGCTCCGGTATGTGATCAGCAAGGTCTCTGAACTTGTTCTCAAGTTCTTTCACCGTCATGTTACCACCTTGGGTTAGGAGAGTGTATTCCCTCACCTTGGCGTTTACTTCGAAGTCAGAGTAGTACTGGGCAAAGAATTCTTGTCGGAAATCCTCCCATGTAACAGTGCCGCCATACTTACCCTTGGTTCCATCCCACCATTTGGATGCCAACCCTTCGAGTAACCTTACCGCGATTCTCAGTTTAAAATCGGGGGTGAGCTGCATGTCAAGGGCTGCCTCGTTCAGCCTCTTGATCCACTGTGCGGCAACCGAGATGTCCCCCGTCCCATCGAACGGTTTGCACCCTAAGTCCCTCCCCTCCTTGATGTATTTGGAGATCATTATGGCTGGACCTCCATCGCCCCGACTTCCATGCGCTTCCACATGGGTTCTCGAATCGCAATAGCTCCTCCCTCTTGCAGCCCCGCCCGAAGGTTGCCCTGCACGGTGCCTTCGGCGTGCCCTCCTTTCTTCGCGCTCCCGATGATACTGTTGGAGCAGCGCTTCGATCCTGGCCAAGGAGCCACTTTCCTCCTCATCACTCACATCATCATCATTCTCTTCGTAAGGGGTCTCAACTGGCTCAGTCCCCGGCTGGTAGGTTGAGTCCTCATAGGACCAATAGGTCTCACTTTCGGTATCGACGTGGCCATCGCTCACGGTTTGACGTTGGCCTCCACGGCCCCTTCCTCTTGATCCCCTAGAGGACCCCCGGCTACCACGCTCGGACCCACCCGGTGCACGGCCCAACGGGTTCCTTCTAGTGATCCTTCCAACGGGTTCCATTTCTGAAAGAAATTAGAATGAGTCATTAGACTCGCATCGAATGTCAATTGACGGATAGGTACTTAAAGACATCCTTTGGCTCAAATCACCGCCATACCAATTGTTAAGGGTACCATCTTAACAATTAGAGGCATTGCAACTCAAGTACCAAAAGTTCTATAAGTACAAAACCTTATGCTAATGGTTTTCAAATTCATTTTCAAAAAGAGATTTTGAAGCTTCATTATGATGTTTACGAACCTGGCTCTGATACCAATTGAATTGTCACGCCCCGGACCTAGCCGGACACGTCAACAACCCGCCGTACAGTACAAATAGTCAACCGCAGTCCAACTCATCCATACTATACAAGGCGTCATGAACATCATTCACACATAGTACATCCATAAACAAACATAATGTAAATCATTCATTTAAAACAGCGGAAACAACATTACAAGTGTTCAAGCCACACTTGGCAAACATGGGTATACAAACCCCCGAAATGTATATTCAGAAAATAATATCCATGAGCATTATTCATATTGTTTTCAAAACAAGAACGGAAGAAGCACGAACCAAGTCTTCTTCTCAGAAACTTCCCGAAACAGCGACTGATAGTAGCAACCTTCAAGTTCTACCTGAAACTGTGAGGTGGCCTCCCCTGTGAAGGGGAGGTCAGTGCTTGGAAGCATTTGACAAGTACAATGACAACTATACTAAGTATAATCGAAGTTTAAATCTTTGAGGTCCTCAATCTAGAGCATTATTACATTTTAGTTAATCCGTTCATTTAGTATCAATTCATCATTATTTACCACGGTCTAGAGCCCAGCTCATAATCACCGTTATCTACTACGGTCTAGAGCCCCGCTCATAATCACCGTCATCTACTACGGTCTAGAGCCTAGCTCATAATCACCGTCATCTACTACGGTCTAGAGCCCAGCTCATAATCACCGTCATCTACTACGGTCTAGAGCCCAGCTCATAATCACCGTTATCTACATCGGTCTTGAGCCCGGCTCATAATCACCGATTCTTTATAATTCAAATTCTTAGGATCTAATTCATCCATTTCTCAACTAACATTTCCAACTAATATTTCAATGCTAGTTACTTATTTATTTCAATATAATTCTTTCTTCATGCATGATTGGCCTTAATATCAAGTATCACTTTTATACCTTCATGGCTTCTCTTCATGGTATCAAGGTATACTATCTCAAATGAAATTCATGGTTGGTACAATCATCATACACTCATATTCATAACATCTAAACTTACACAATTTATTCATAAATTTGTATATCATGCATACTACACTTCTAATCAATAGTAGTTTTATTTAGGCATTATTTACCATTAACAACCCATGCACATCACATTTGTATTCACTTAGGAAATCCCATGAAATTAACCCAAAGATTTTAAGTAACATAGTCGGTCATCCTCACCTTAATTAAGCTTAAGCGCGTTCTACGTTCCTCGATGGAACTTTGACCAACTCCGGCGAACTTTGACCAACTCCGACGAAACTCCGGCGAAGCTCAAAAATACTTTAAATCAAGTTCCTAACAAGGTTTTATCATCACAAAACCCATATCAATACAAATAACCTATAAAAGGTTATTTTCCGGCAAACCGGTCGATTTGGCTTCTAAGTCCGTTTTTGGACTTCGAATCACTTTCCAACCCATTATTCCACACTTAAATCATGTAGAACAATACTAAAGGTCTTCATATGATATATATCTTATATGCTAGCAGAAAAACAAATGAAAAGTTATGATAAGGTCTTTACCTTAATTTTCACACTTTTTCCTAGCTTTTTCCTTCTTTAACTTCCTCCCAACTTTCTTGTTTGAGCTCAGCTCGAATTTTGCTATGGAAGATGAAGTTGTAGAGGTTCTTTCCTCCTTTCTCTTGATGCTGTCCGAACTAGTGAGGAGGGGGATGAGTAGGAATGCCCCTTTGTCTCCTTTTGGGCAATGAATGAAAGAGAGGAGGGCCACCATGATTTGTTTTGATGCCAAACATCTCAAATCAGTCCTCTCCCACCTCACCTCTCCTACCAGCCGACTCAGCCCTTGAATAATGTGGCTAAATTCGTGGTTTGGCCCCCACCCATGTGGGAGGTCAACCCTTTTTGTCCAGAAGTGTACAATCGGTCCCGAAAGTTGTATTTTCCGGACTGTTTTAAGTATATTTTATTTTATCGGGTCAAATAAAATATAACACATGTTCCCAATTCTTAATGGACCTTAGAATCAATATGCATTCCTCAACTTTAAATTAGAAGTCTCCGAAATCCCTTTTTCGGGCTGTTATCTGATAGATTGCCGATACTGATAATTTGACCCCGTTTGACCAACCGGTCAACCCTATGCCATTGTCATGGCTCAACTAGGATATCCACCACCATATACATATTATCTAGTCCAAGATCAACATAATATGTGGCCCCGATAATATCGGGCGGTCCCTACTCCCGATGTGGGCCCCACGTGCATTTTACTATTCACGCGAAAAAATTAATACAAATTCACAACTTCGTAAATTCACTAAAAATTTCATAGGATTCAATAAATTATTCGCTTAAAGATAAATACATTTGGGGACGGTGTTACAAATGTCGTCCAAAAATCTATCTTTCAAAGATACGATTTATTTTTTGCTTCTTCCCGTAACTGCCTCAGTTCTCCAGAAATGCATCAGAACTGTTCTGTCCTGTGCACATCAGAACCAAAAGATGTGGTGTTCTGGTTGCCCCGGAACCAGAAGACGTTCTGTTCTGGTCGCCCCGGAACTAGAAGACGTGCTGTTCTGGACCGTTACAGAAATAAATGCCCAACGTTCTTATGCCATTATGCAACAATTAATGGACAGTTCGTGGACGATTCAATGCCCAATGATCATGTCATTGATGTCCAATGTTCAGGTCCATTAACTCTCTATTAACACACAACAAATCCTTCCTATAAATAGCTGGCACGTGCTATGCAACAAACACGTTCACACACATCCTCATGTACTTTTGAGAGCTAAAACCACCTCAAGTTTCCAGAAATATTATTCTTTGTTCTACCTTTGTTCCCGTTCACCGGAATAGTCGTTTGTGTGATCAAATGATTGCTCGTTAGCCACCGTATCATAGGAAACGGTTGTTGCAACGCTCCTAGCACCGTGGGAGGCAACAAATACATTTAAAGGACATCGTGCGTAGCACGAGCTTTGGCTAATTTCCGTTCCAACTTATTTTCTGTTTTTCTTTACCTATTTTGTTAATTTTAATTAATTAATTTCTTCGCTTTTCCGAGACACACCCAACCGTGTTATCAGATATAATTCAATTAATCCAAATAAACAAACTTAATGTTTTAAAAGTGACTCTTTTGGTTCTTCAACTATTATAATAATGACATTTTTAGTCCTTAATTTTTTGTGTCAAAATCAAAGTGGAAGGACTAAACATGTCAATTTGATAATACTCTGGAGATTAAATGTGGAAAACTTTGAAATCGAAGACTGAAAATGTATCTAACACAATAATAAAGAACTAAAATTGGAAACATTAAAATTCAGACTAACAAAAGTGTCAATGACACAATAACGATTATACATTTTTATTAAGTTTTTGCCCCAAAAGATGACCAAACGTTAGTGTCACTCGCTCCTACCAAACAGGCCCCTGAAGAAACACTATCAAAATCCCCGGGCTACCAGTTACTCAGTTACTACTTACTATAAGCATTAAGCGGGCCCTTGCGCCTTTTCCCGCCACCCCTACTTCAGTCTTCACTCTTGAAACCGCATTTGTATCCATCGGCTCGACGGCTCCTTCAGTAGCAGGCGAAGATGTTGTGGGTCGACAAATACCGCCCAAAAACCTTAGACAAGGTCATCGTGCACCAAGATATTGCTCAGAATCTTAAGAAACTGGTAAAAAATTATTTTCCCGGCACTCTGATTTATGTTTGTTGTTTAATTTTTAGTGAACTTTCAAGATTTACTTCGACTTTTCTTCTCCAATCCTGTCTAGGTTACAGAACAAGATTGCCCGCATTTACTCTTTTATGGGCCACCAGGGTCGGGTAAGAAAACCCTAATCATGGCCCTCCTCCGGCAGATATTTGGAGCCAGTGCCGATAAAGTAATGATATCCATTCGTATATATTTATCAATATTTTCATCAAATCTGTTTAAATATTTCACCCATTAATTGTCTATGCAGGTGAAAGCTGAGAACAAAGTTTGGAAAATTGATGTAAGTTTCCTTCTTTTTTGTGATTCGATAATTTGTTTTGTGCATGACCATGCACGGGCATATATTGGATCCAGAAGCAATACTATACGATGATTTCTACTTTGCAACATTAACACTTATCTACTTCCCGAAGTATATATCTGGGTCGAAAGATGCTGAATGGGCTAGCTTTTCTGTCATCACTAGTAGTGCATTCTAGTTTGTGACAAGAACTATTACTTATTTGGCTATTTTGATTGATAAAGTGTTGTGGAAGTGACCTTTTTAAATAGCACCCAGGAACATTGTTTATATCTGTAATACATTGATGCTCTCGGTCTCAGGCTGGAAGTAGGACTATAGAGGTAGAGCTCACAACATTGTCAAGTACTAACCATGTAGAATTGAGTCCCGGTGATGCTGGATTTCAAGACCGATATGTTGTTCAAGAGGTGATAAAGGAGATGGCAAAGAATAGACCAATTGACACCAAAGGAAAGAAGGGATTCAAAGGTGATTCCACTAATTTTCTCTATTTATAAAACTCACTAGACACATTGACAATACAACAATACATGACCCCCCAAATCCGTGTTGATACATAATAGATTATGAATCTTTTACTTTGTTGCGCCCATGGTAACCCTCACATTATCAAGTGGCTCTGGGAATGTTCATCCATTGAGATGTCAATGCCTTTCATTGCAACGGTTGGAGATATTTCAAATTCAACAAACAATTCTTGATTTTTGTGAAAAGTGATTTTTAAGAGAATGTATGGTTGAGAAGTAGTTTGAGGAACTCGTAGAAATGATGTTATATAGAATGTGGTTGCGAATTAACTATGTACAAAAATCAAGAAGGTGTGTTTTTAAGCTGAAATTTCATAAGCAGCACCCCTAAAGAGTACATTTCAATTTTCAATACCAGCACCACAAAATAACACAATAATAACTTATGGAGTTTTCTTCTTTCTGTTTTTTATGTAGACTTGTACGTGTATATGTATAAATTACTAAGAATCAGATTTTAATATCCATACAACTGATATACTAGTTTATTTACTAACTAGTATAGTGACAGTAAACTATAACAGTTAAAGTAATGAGGTGAACGTTGACTATAGTTGTGAAATTATAAATTACAACTGTCAGTTTAGCAATTATTTGGTGAAACAAATGTGTTGATACTTGATATTGACTTATTTCACTTTTATTAGTAAATATGTTTGATAGTACTCCCTCTTTCGCATTATGTTTGCCTTATTTTCCTTTTTGGGCTGTCCAAAAATGAATGTCCCGTTTCCTTTTTGCCAAAAAATATGTGGTTCATATTATTGCACTTTATTTTACTCAAACTTCAACCACAACAGTTACTTTTCAACCACTTCATTCATCATTGTGCCAAACTAAAACAAGACATCCAATATGGGATAGATGTAGTAGTAATTACTCGTACAGTTGAGTTGAAACTAACTGTCAAATTAAAGAAAAATAAATCAATGGCTATTAGTGGATTTAGGTGCTTAAAGCTAAGGTGATGGAACTCACCACAAGTGAGACAGTATTCTGTTTGGTAATTTAAGGCAGGCAATTTAAACACTCCAAACAGTGCTAACACATCACAAAAGCTTAAGATATTCTCATGTCACTCACTCACTTGAATACAAACATCTTATGTACACATTGCACGTTCGATGATATCAAATGTACTTAAAATTCCAGTACTAGTGTTGAATGAAGTCGACAAACTCTCAAGAGAAGCACAACATTCTCTTCGAAGAACCATGGAGAAATATAGCACATCATGCCGTCTGATCCTTTGCTGCAACAATTCTTCAAAAGTTACAGAAGCTGTCCGTTCTCGATGCCTCAATGTACGAATTAATGCACCAAAGGAAGTAGAGGTCTGTATTTTTCTTCTGTCTGACTGTTCAGTCTTATCTCATTCCTGTTTTATTTAATTTTATGAATATGACATTACCAACTCCAGTAGCTATTATATGACATTACCACTGCATTTGAATTAGAATGGCTATGGTCTTATGGACTCTATCGTTTTTTATATTTCTTATTTAGTACAGCTTTGAGATATTGTTTATGAACCATTCTTTGAATGCCCTTTCTCAGTCTAATCTCAATCTATTCTTTTGTGCCTGTACATATGCACACGTCTGCTTTTTTTGTGTTTTATTTCATGATATACCACCATATGAATCCTTCACGCTGATCCTTGCGTTTGGGGCAGAGCTTTAACTACTGACCATGGTTTTGTCTGTTGATCTTTTCTCTTTAAGGGCAGAGCTTTAACTACTGAAGGATAACTGGCACATGTTTGAAACTGTATCTGCCTTAAAAGCATGTGTGTGTGAACTTGTGTGTGCATCTATACATAGATTACTCTTATGCCTTGACCTTACATTTTTGCTGCTTAAACTTGATTAGTAGTTTCTACAGTGTGTACATTTTCTTTATTTATGTCAGATTGTAAAGGTTTTGGAATTTATTGGTAAGAAAGAAGGACTTCAACTCCCACCAGGACTGGCTGCTCGTATAGCAGAAAAGTCAAACAGAAGTCTGAGAAGAGCAATATTGTTATTTGAGACTTGTCGTGTTCAGCAGTTAAGCTCTGTCACACCCTCATGCTCCATTCAACTACTCAAATCAATGGATTTTTTACTCTATCTTTTGATTCAAAGTTTTGTGCTTAGACCTTTTTTTTCTCTAATTTTTTTCTTTTGTTTTTGCCGTTTAAGGTATCCCTTTACAAACAACCAAGCAATACCTCCAATGGACTGGGAGGAATATGTTGCAGAGGTTGCATCAGACATAATGAAGGAACAAAGCCCTAAAAGGTTGACTGCGGGTCCATCTTAGTGCAAGCACTGAATAAATATGCATACTTCTGTTTTATGATGACTTCCATCATTTGCAATGGAGCCAAAGATTCATTATTTTTTGGCTTGAGATTATGACGGAATAAAGCAAAATGGCTCACTAAACTGTCTGCGCTTCTTTGTTATGAAGCAACAGTGAGTCCATGCAATTTTGGACGGGATTTTCACTATGGGTCATCCGGAAACAGTCTCTCTGTGCTTTAGTAGAGGGGTAAGACTGCGTACATCTGACCCCCCTTACCCCACCGTAGGTGGGAGCCTTTTCGGCACTGGGGTAAATGAAAATGAAAATGAATGACTTCTGTTTTATGATGACATGATTTTTTGGGGACTATTATTACTCCTTTTGAATCCCTTATTCCTCAGTCAACAGTATATTTGATTGATGGATGTAGTATCTTGAATCTTCTCCTATAATGTTACTCACAAGTTCTGCCCTGTGTCTCCTCAAAATGGACTTTAACTACCATCGATTTAAACTTCTTAGCGAGTGCAAGTCTCTTTCATTTCCTTCCTCTATATTAAATGATAACACCTGTTTTTAATAAAATTAGTAACATTTCTCTCGCTTCCCATGGCAAACTCACAGGTTGTTTCAGGTTCGAGGAAAACTGTATGAACTACTTTCTAATTGTATTCCACCTGATGTTATTTTAAAGGTGATTCTAACCTTCCCTATTCCTTGTTTTGGTTGTAAGTAATAATCAAATACAAACAAAGAACCTGTCAGTTAACTAGAGGAGCCCCCCCCCCCCCCCCCCCCCCCTCTTTTTATTTCAGAGGCTTCTTTTTGAGCTGATGAAGAAATTGGATTCCGAGTTGAAACACGAGGTCTGCCATTGGGCTGCATATTATGTAAGTCTTTATTTGGGGGCCAATGTTATGCAGCAAACTTGGCTGGAGTGTTCGGAATATGTTTTGCAACCGATTTCTTTATTTAACCTTTCCTATCATTTAAGTTTGTCTTACCCTTTGAAGTTACTTATCACACTTTCATTAACCTGTTTTTGTTTAAATTGTATATAATATGTTCACTTCCATAAGCAGTTCATTTCTTATTGAATTCCAAGCCGCAGTTGCACAAATTAAGTGAAAAGGAGGTCATTTCCCATCCTAATTGTGTCTAAAAAAGTTTATTTTTAAAATTTCAAATACTTATTTTTCCCAAAATAGTTTTTGATTTTATCGATGGAAGCTTATTTTTGGCTAATTTACCCAATATGAGTCATATTTACCTTGGTCAAACATTACTCGTTTTCTGGGACGTGGTTAGTAAAGTTTACTCGTAGAGTATCAAATAAAGCGATACCCCCCCCCCCCCCCCCCCCCCCAATAGCGTCTTTTCATGTGGATGAAAGGAGCAGTATGGTAATTTACCATCTATTATATGTGTTGCTCGCAAAGGAGGAAATACCTTTACGACTTGAACTCTCGTATGCCATTGATTTAGCAGTATACTAATTAAAGTTAGGGTCCTGATTAATCTGCAATTTTCCTGGTAAGGTGCCAACTAAGTCCATATGGCCTTAAGAATGTCACAGTACCTGATCTGTATCATACATAAAGGTTATAATGCAAATAATGCTATTTATTCTATAAGTAGATGCTCGCAAAAGATTAGGTTTTGACCCACCTGCCACATACGAATTTTCAACCACCGAACCCCGGTTTAGTGCAATATTATTGCTGGTTTAGTGCTGCAGTTCATCTGAGGTTGAATACTTAAAGCATATTTTTGTTCTGAAGAGAGCACTATGTCACAGGCATTAACGTGACAACTAGATACCCTTTGCGGGTTTTGCTTGTTTTCTTCTTGACGGGAAATGCTATACATCATGTCCACATGTCCAGAACTAACTAGGTTTTATTGTTGACTTCCCATCTTTCAGGAACATAGGATGCGCTTGGGACAGAAGGCGATATTTCACCTTGAAGGTGCTTCATGCACCGATGCATGTTTCCTTTGACCTATATAAATGCACACCCTTCGTATCAATCTTGCTATGCATTTATCAGAATTTCCATTTTTTATGTTTTGATTGCACTTATATCTGGTTTATGTTGCTGCAGCATTCGTGGCCAAATTTATGAGCATTTACAAGAACTTCCTCATTGCAACCTTTGGATGAGAGAAGTTCAACATTCCCCGAGGCCTGCAAGGTTAAATTGTGTGTTTTAGTTGTGTGAACAGTGATGCCCAAAGCTCTGGATTTCCTTCAACTTCTTTTTCTTTTAAAATTATGGAATACACACTCCCCTGGCTCTTTAGGTTTGATTTTGTGAAAGTAGCAAGTAATTTGACAAGTTCAGAGAAAATTTGTTGCCCTATCCTATAAAATAATTCAAATCAAACCAAAAACCTTGAAAACACAACTATTGAACTCACCAAGTTATTTTTGCAGTTTTGGTGACTAAATCATGATCTGACCTGCAGATGGTCTAATCTCTTTGTTGGGTTCTTCCTCAGTGGGATTTCATCTAGTTGCGTATCTCTTGCACCATTCGTACTAAGAAGAGGAATTGATTACCTGTTTCTTTAATAAGCAATGAAATTTATTTCTATCTTTTCATTTCAACTCATAAGTATTGAGTTGGAAGTTGGAACTACAAGGAAAAAGGCATTAGTGTGTTAAATGCAAGTGAAACACAATCAGTGAACTGTCGATAGATCCCTTTGCCTGGTTTGAATTGTATTTTGAACCGGTTCAACTCTGGTCTAGTTCTTTTCCCTACATAATACTACGTATGTTTCATATCTGAGTGAGATTCAATTTTACATTGAAAGAATGGTGTAGATATTACTCCCTAACTTTCATTGGACAAAAATATGACCCTTTTTTATCAAGATTAAAAAGTGACCTGATTAAACATAACCCATCCAATTTCTGATGCTCCATCGGAACAATTCTACGGATCTACACATCTACTTCCTTCTCCAAGCCATCTTCTCTGGTTCTCCCCCCTTGCTCCAAGCCATCTTCTTCCCTTGCTCCAAGTCATCCAACCTCCAGCCAAGGCACAACACCTTTGCGCCACAACCGCAACAAACCATTTCACCATTGCTGCAATGCACTGCCGAAGGATTCTTCTCCTTCTCTTGTTGAATCAAGGCTAGCGGTGTGCGAGTATTTAGTTACTTTTTATTAATAATGTTACACAATGTCTATATCTAGACATTGTATTTGACATTGTAAATGTAAAGTAAGAGAAACCCCCTTAAATAGGACTAAAACATAATCAAAATGCACAAACATGACCACTATTGTTTTCTTTCTAAAATAGGATTCATTCACTCCACATTGGAGTAAATTTTATACTTTTAATTGGACCAAATCAGTCATATTTTGGGAATAAAACATAAGTATTTCTATTTGTGCACTTCATGTGTATTTAGTTCTATTTGGAGCAATTTCCTTAAAAGTAACTAAAGTAAACATAATGTGAAAGAAAAGAGAGAGAAATGGTGTTGATTAATTTTTGTGTGTCTATTTTTGTTATGACACATACACGTTTAAATAATTTAAATATCCCAAATTTTGAATAGTGTGAGATAAGTACTCCAAATTTGTACATCTAATATATACTCCGTATATCATAAACTTTATTTAAAAAGATATGTCAGCATCATGATCATATTTTTTTACAAATGTAATTTTATGGTTTTAATTACATAATTTAAAATACACAACATTTATGAGGATACAAATAAAATTAAATTGTACCAAACATAATATTGTTTATTTTACAAATGAAATTTTAGAATGTTAACTGCATTCCAACAAAGCTTAGAGTATTTTAAATTATGTAATTATTTCAATACATTTGTATTTGTATAAAACATACAATCATGGTGCAAAAATAATTATTTATATAAAGTTTGGGGTATATGTATTACAAATGTAAGTTTGATGTACTTATCTCACATTCTATTAAAGTTTGGGATATTAAAATTATTTTCCCCATTATAATATCATGCTATTATTATGGTGATAGTATATATTCAAATTAAAGTATAAATTGGCACAAAAGGTGTTATGTAAATACTAGTAACTAGTAAGATACTATGCGCAATGCGCGAGTAGGATCAAATGCCCAATGCTATTTTGATAATATAAATGATATGTTAATGGATATTATAATTGAGTCTTTGAAATTGCACTAGAGCATTATACATAATTTGTTTCTATAATAAGTGTTATTAAAAAGATATATGAGATGTTTCTTTAATTTGAGAGAAAACGGGTCAAGGATCACTCCCATTACGACCCATCAGGCCATCATAAGAACCTAATATCAACATGGTAAAGAGTCTAAGAAAGATTGAGGTGAATGGTGAGGTTTATAGTGAGTCTAGAAACATTGTGTTATTTTGAAACTTGAATCTAAGTGCCCCAAACATGTAGTAAGATTCAAGTCCAATAACAAATTATGCTTTAGAATATTACCAATATTAATGCTAATGAAATGGGTGAATAATCCTCACTAATAAGCCTATGAAATAAAATATTACACCCGATAGGTATTATTTGGGATCGTCAGGGGTTGGTGGTGGTGACGATTGACATATGTGTACACATACAGAGTCTCTTATTCCTGTTCAGCCGGCCTGACGGAAACCGCCGCCCGGCTGAGGGCATTTCGGACTCTTCCCAGTAGATTTTTTTGATGAAAATTTTTGAGCATGTTCTTCATCAAGTCTAGTTTACTCATACCAAATTGAAGATAAAAATTCAACCGGAAAGGCTATCAAATAAATAATTTAAGAATACTGCGCAGTTAATATATATAAACAGCGTAGTATTTTTAAATAAATCATTTGACTACCTTCCCGATTGATTTTTAGTTCAAATTTGATATGTGTAAACTATACTTGATGAAAATATGCTTAAAAAATTCATCAAAAATTCCCACTGGTAAGGGCCCGAAATGCCCTCGTTCGGACGGAGGTTTCCGTCAGGCCAGCTGGACATGAAAGATTGTCTACACATACATATATACTACCTCCGTCCCGGTGGATTTTGCCAAGTGCAAAGTATGTGAGAAATAAGAATAGTAAAAACTGTGTGATTGAGATTTGTACAGAGGAGAGTAAAATGTGCAGAACCACAAATTAGTTGCTTTAATAGGAAAGTGACAAAATTTTTTGGGACAAAAAAAGAAAGTTAACAAAGTCCAATGGAACAGAGGGAGTAACAATATATGACGCATCAAAGTAATGGCATTCCCATCCGTGCATGTACTTCTATGCTAAAGCCAATTAGGGCATATTAAGGTAAAATCGGGACATTTTGAATGAGTTTGATTACATGGTGTGGATCATTATTGAAGTTGAACTCGTCTTATCCAAATACTTCAATTGTATTGCATTTCGTTACTGAAGTACTTCAATTAACCCTAACACATCTAAAGGTGGTAGTCACCAGGGGCGGAGCCAAGGGGGATCAGGGTGGTCAGCCGACCCCACTGAAAGTTTGAGAGTATAGAGTTTTGAAGTATCTTCGATTTGATATATTATGGCCCCTGTAACTTATTACTAGTAAAAAGTTATGACTTCTGGAAAATCAGCACTTTCTAAACTTAAAATCAACAAAATTTGACGCAAAATATAGATTATTTTTCCAAATTTTAAAAATAAGGTATAATTCACTCAATACTTACGTGACACGACTCAAAAAAGAGCAAAGACAGTCTATTTTATTGTTACGAGTGCCTATTTATCTAAACTGCATACAAAATATTCAAATAATTCAACTCAGACTGATGGAGTATATGAGTCTGAAGAAGGACCCACATACTCAGGACAGAAAGCACAGCCACCACGCAGTGTCCTCGTCGGCCAGACCCTCGTCGGCCAGAAGAAGGACCAACTCAGATTATGATCCAGAAGCCAGGGAACCAGGGTGTCCTCGTCGGCCGTGCCCTCATCGGCCGTGCCCTCGTCGGCCAAGACCCTCGTCGGCCACGGAAGACTCACAGAACCGGATTTTACACTTATTCGTTTGTATAGCCCACCAGAGGCTTTGTATTCGGCCCAGTAGCGGTCCAGTTGTAAATGGGCCTCCCAAGCTCAAGACTTGGGAGCCCAGCCCGTATTTTCCCTATAAATACTTCCTCTGGAGGTAGTTATCAGGGTTACAAATTCATTCTATTGAAGCATATATTGTACTTCTCTCTCTAGCTCTCACTTCTCTCTAGATATATACTCTATCACAGACATTGTTTAAAAACGATCCACCATTTTCATTCTGTATATATGTTGCGTTTCGACCCTCTGAATCGTTTTTCTAGCTCCACCACTGGTAGTCACTATGTCATTAATATAGTAAAACAACACTTTCTTAGGCGGTGTTTGATATTGCTTTTAAAGAACTTTTATGTTTCTGACTTTGAAAAAGCTAAATTTATGTTCTACAAACAAAAACTTATCCTAAACTTTAGCACGTTTAAGCTAAAAGTTGGAAGTAGTATTAATTAAGGATACTTAAGTGATGTTAGGTCAATAAAAAAAAACTGTGCGTGCTCTCTACTACTTAATCCCTAACATTACCTTCTCTATCATAGCTTTTCTTCTTCATGCCTTTTAATTTGGAGCATATTGCACTGAATTAATCACTCGGAAAAAGTACAAATAAAGTTAAAATTAAGTGGTAAATGTATATAATGTTGAAGGTTAAAATTAAATGGAACTACATTAAATGGAACGATATTTAATTAAATTTTGTTATTATCATCATCATTATCATCATCATGATCATCATCATCATTAGTATTTGATGAATAGTCTACCCGGAGGTATATATTCGAAGGGTTATTACGGGGAATAACTTAGAGAGAAGTCAGAGCAAGTAAGTAAAAGTAGAGAGAGTGTATTCAGTATGAATGCCGTTTTCAGCGTGGTTACAAATGAGGAAATGGGGTGCTATTTATAGTAGCAATAAATGCCGGGCAGGGACACGTGTCAAGCGCTCATTGGCCGAGGGGTCACCTCAACTGGTTGGCGCTGGCAGCCGCATGTGGCCGCATTTAATGCGGCTGTTGGATGAGACATCTGTACAGGGTACGGTGATCTGTACGCATGTGAGGCGGATATCTTGTCGAGTGAGATGCCTTCGGTTATAGAGCAGTAGCTGAGGGCTCCTCCAACCGATGGCACCCTGGTGCCGAGGGCTACTTGTGACACCCCCAAATTTTTTCACCCAAAAAAATACTTTGAAATAGAGATGAACTTTTATTTAATGATTAAAACTTCAAAAGTTGCAGCGGAAATTAATAAAACTAAGTAAAAGGGGCATGTCACCGCCACATCCAATCCGTGAATGATTGGATGCTAAGGCTATCTACCAAAACACGAGTTTAACAAAATCAAGATGTTTGAATCATAAGAAAATATTAAAGTTTATTTCTAGTGAACTACATAATTGTCTTCTAATTCGCGCTCTCAAACATTGCAGCATCAAATTCATCATGATCACCTCATGTTAAATACGAGCACAAGAAAAATAAAAGAAAAAAAAACATTAGCAATAATGCTAAGTAAGTTCCACCTAATTTTTTAAAATAATAATAAATACTATATATAAATTCGTACAACCTCATAAAATATTTTTCAAAACACTTTATAAACCATGAATCATAAGTAAACGATATCTATATAAAATCCCAATCACATAATTAACTCGTAAACCATAATAATTCCAAAATACATGAAACACCAAAATTCTCCTCTTTTGAATTTCTCCCAAAATCACTTTGTATCTAACTTCCTAGTAATTTAGAAGGGCAGT